GGGAAGGTGTGTGGTGGGACCAGCAGGTGGCGTCATGGTTACGGCGCTGGACCCCCACGTAGTCTGCCGGGGCTGAGTGTCACACACAGTGGCTCCAAACTCACGCTGGGTGGGACCAGCAGTTGGCGTAATGGCTATGTTGCTGGACTCCCACGTAGTCGACCACGGTTCGAGTCCCGGACCCAGTGGCTTAAACTCACACCGGGCACGTGTGCGTGCGTGCCCAAGATCCCGAGAGGAGAATGGAGGAGAAGGGATTGTGGCATGGCCATCCCCCCTGGGGGGTGATTTCTCACTTTCTGTCTCTCTGTCTCTCTCTGTCTGTCTGGCGAGCGCACGCGCCCTGTAACATAAACCTCTCCAAAGAAAGAAAAAAATAATAATAATAACAATAAAGAAAATAATTCTAAAAAGCATATCAAGGCAGGGGTTTCAGAATTTCCCGTGAATTTTTGCAGTCCCGGGTACACAGGCATGCTGCTGCTTCCCCTGTCAACCTGGCCCTGGGAGATGAAGCCTGGCCCAGCCTTGCTGTCAGGACTCCCAGGTTACAGACCCCGAGGCCCAGGCAGCCGGCCCAGCGGCCATCCTGAAAGTGCGTCTATCTGTGTTAATCAGACACGGATTCCAGGGGAGGAGATCGAAGGAAAGCATCGCAGGACTCCAGCCCGAGGGGTCGTGACCCATGGCCGAGTTCCCTGGGCCTTCTGCATTCCAGGGGTGCCAGGCACCAGCGAGGACAGAGAAAGCACTGATAGTGGAAGTCCTGTCCCTGGAGGAGAGGGCTGCCCCTCTGTCCCGGTCTCTGGGGAGGACAGGAAGCCAGTGCCCCCAACTGGGCACCACCACCACCTGCCTGCAGGGGGACCGTGCCTCTACCCCTGCCCAGCATGTGATGGTGACACTTTTACTAGGTGGCCCCTTTTTGGTGTCCTTATGAAATGTGGGCACTTGGCAGAGACGGACAGAGAGACAGCGTGAGAAGGCAAATCACCTCCCTCCCCCGGAGGGGAGATGGCCACGCCGCTATCTCTTCTCCTCCATTCTCCTCTCGGGATCTTGGGCACACACGCACATGCGCCCGGCGTGAGTTTAAGCCACCGGGTCCGGGACTCGAACCACGGTCGACTACATGGGAGTCCAGTGACATAGCCATTACGCTAACTGCTGGCCTCTGTTTTTTTGTTTTGTTTTGTTTTGTTTTTTTGAGAAATTACTGCTATAGGATACGTACAATTTGCCAGAGTAGCAAGATGTGAGGTATCATCCTGCAGAGGGAATGGCCACACTGCAATCCCTTCTTTACTGCTCCCTATTTTCATTTATAAAGAATTATTTGATTTAACTTTATTTTTTTTTAATTTGACCGGGAACGGGGTGGGGGTAATGAGAAAGCAAGCCTCCAGATCCAGGACTCGAACTGTGGTCAGCCACGTGGAATCCAGCATCTCTAACCACCATGCCATCTGCTGGCCCCATTTCTCCCTACTTTGGGGATTTCTGTTTTTATTAGTTTGCTATAAGGTACACGTGTTCACTGGAGAGAGAGAAAGAGAGAGAAGGAGAAAATGAGAAAGTCTGAGCACCCCCCAGGGGGGATGGTCACGCCGCAATCCCTTCTCCTCCATTCTCCTCTCGGGATCTTGGGCACGCACGCACACGCACCCAGCGTGAGTTTAAGCCACCGGGTCCGGGACTCGAACTGCAGTCAGCCGTGGAGGAGTCCAGCACCTTAATCACAATGCTACCTGCTGGCCCTAGGGCCCCCCCCATTTTATCATGAGAAGGGTTGTGTATTTTAGGTCCCCAGAATTGGATGGTGATGTCAGTGAGGGCTCTGAGCACAGACATGCAGCTGGGGGCCCCGCGGGAGCCGGGGGTGCAGGGTGTGGACAGCGGGGGTCCGTTCTGGGCAGGCCTGGACTGTGACTCGGCTGGGTCTGGGCCCTTGGCAGCCCTCTCCTGATTCTCCCCGGACCGGTCCACCCTTGGCACTGCCGCCAGATGTGCGGTGACACGCCGCCCCCTCCACCCCTCACACCCCGCTTCTCGTTGCAGGCAAGAAGGTTCAGTTCCGGAAGCCGGCCCCAGGGGCCACTGACGCTGTGCCTTCCCGGAAGCGACCGACCCCCATGAACCTGGCGAGCGCCATCAGGAAAAGCGGCACGGGCGCCGGGAGCGGGGGCAGTGGGGTGTCCCAGAGGCCCTTTCGGGACCGCGTGCTGCACCTGCTGGCCCTGCGGCCCTACCGGAAGGCCGAGCTGCTGCTGCGGCTGCAGAAGGACGGCCTGACGCAGGCGGACAAGGACGCGCTGGACGGCCTCCTCCAGCAGGTGCGAGCTGGCCACCCAACCCAGCCCTGTGCTCGGGGTGGCCCGGACGCCCAGGCTGGGGTCCGGCGGGCCGGGCAGGTCGCTTCCCTGGTCTGGATGAGCCGGGACCGCAGCCGTGTCTGGGGGCAGCCCCCGCTGGTGAGAGGCTCGGGCCGGCCGGCGCCCCC